CATTACAATGCTTATATCCTAGCAGAATGGGCTCTGCAGTGGGAACAGGGGATTGGCTAGGCAAGGACTGAGCTTGAGCCTATACTTATTTGCTTATCTCCTTACACTTTTTGGGGCATCCTTCAAAGGTTTTAGTGACCCTGGTTGAGAATCACTGGCTTAAGGAAATGGAATCACAGAGAAGTTGGGCTGGACGTAATTTAGTGTAGGCACCTGCTCAGGGTAGGATCAGCCCTGACCAAACCATCCCAGTCAAGTGACTCTTACCAAATTATATGTAAACTTTAAGAGCCATAGATTTTTTTTTTTTTTTTTTTTTAAAGTTAATTAAATGCAGCGTACCAGTTTTGTTGTTTGCATTGCAGTTTGCTTTCTAATAACCAGCATTAAACTTTCTTCCATCAGGTCAAGGAATTTGACTCCATTTCTCGCTTGGACCAGTGGCTAACCACCATGTTGCTCCGCATCAAGAAGTCCATTCAAGGCGAAGGGGAAGGAGACTTGAAGTGACTTGTCTGTGATATTTTGTGGCATGCAGCCTAACTCTTAAATCTGTGTTTGTGTTACAGCCAGGGACCATTAAGGGATACTTGATACTATGTCTAGCTTAACTTTGTCGCTTATGAACCAATGACTTGTGTGGTGTTTAGTATCCTGCTGTCTGTTTGGATGACATGGATGGGGAAAGAAATGATACTTTAGGTGTTGCTGATGGATCCTTACACTGTGAAATCAATAAAGGTTTGTGAAACTCTTAGATGGATGAAAGAAACGTGGCAGAAATCTTTATTTTTGCTAGCTGATGAGCCAAGTCTACATTTTAAATCTCTTCTGCCATTACTCTACAAGCTCGTGATCTCCAGGCCCTTTGATCCAGGTGTGTAAGTATCTGTTCTTCCCATGACACAGTACATGCAAGTTTCTGAATTAATGCTGCTGTTAATGTTTTATGTTTTTAATGGACTTCACTCGGATATGTTTAGAATTTTGTTTTTAAAATGGTAAAGCTATTTTGATGGTGCTAGTGAAAAGCTTGTGACCTTTTTATATACAGTATGCATGTGTGTATGTACTCTACAGATACATGTGTGCATGTATAAATACAGAATACATAATGACATAGGTCTGAAACCCTGATCATTCTTCAGAGGGGAGGGATGACCACTTCTAATAGTTTATTATCTCTCCACAAACTTATTAAATAGGACCTAGTCAATCATGTATTTTATATTTAAGAACTATATATAAAATGTAAGTTTCTTCTATTTTTTCTTGAAGAGGTTTTTCCACTTTATTTTGTGGTGCATCCCATCCCTCCTACCCTGAGATGACTTTACCCAATAATATATTTTTCTAACTTTTCATTTATATAAGCTGTTGCTGTCATCTTTACTGCAGGTGTTTTTCATGTGTGTGCCAGGACACGTTTCACTATTGTGCTATTGGCTGAGCTATCTCAGTGTTGTGTGTGAAATTACTGCATTAAACACAGTACTAGATAGGAGAACCCTACTTAGCATGGCTGGACCATAGCTTGATCAGGCTTTGCTTTCGCATTAGTGTTTTCTTTATTTCAACATAGTGATTTTTTTTTTAAATTACATGCAAACTCTGTTTTCCTTTGGGCAAGCCTTAGTTTCAGTGCAGCTAATTAGACAAGAAACCTATATTTAATATAAATGAAAGTGTGACCATATACAGTTTCTTAGTGTGGTGTGGCTTATTTCTCTACTGTAAGAGTAAGTTGTGGAAATAATTTTGTATATCATCAATGTTGCATATACAAGCAAAGGCTACTAGCTGTACTTATGTAAATGCCACTTGACCTTTTAAACTGTCCATCCTCATAAAGTAGGAAAACACTAGTATCCCACAGCTGACAGTCTTCTTTTTTTTTTTTTTTTTTTTTTTTTTATATTGCTACCGGGATTGGCCTAAGTTGGATCTTGTGTTGTGTAAGAAGGAATGCTGCAGGTATGCATGGAACCACCAGGTTCCTAACAGAGGAGCTGCTGGCTTTCATTTTTCTGTGTTGTACGGGCTACCAATTTTCCAAGACAAAATGGGTCTGAATGACTGTTGCTTGAAGCAAAATATAATGGCGTGTTCTAAGAACCTGGAGATGCTGCAGAACTATCATTCGTTTACAGAAAAATTCCTTGAGACCAAGTGAAGAATTCCAGGAAAGAAAAAACACAAATGTCTTAATAATCCATCTCCAGGGCTTTTAATTTGCATCCCCTTTTTACTTATGTATTTTTTTACACAACTAACTCGACCTGGGAAGGGCTTCTGTTCTGCCCTTTTTAGCTCCGTGTTGTGCGAAATGCAGCTTACTCTGCACTTTGACTGAGATGACATGATTTTACTCAGTTTGGACAAGATTGCTTTCTGCTCCTAGTAGAATTTACAACTTTTCTTACTTGCCAGGTGAACAGGATGTAGATGCACAATGAAGAAACAGGAGAAAGGAAGGAGCTTGTCCCAGACGAGCAACTTGGTTTATGTTGGAGGTGTTGGAGAAAGCTGTGTAACTTGCAAAACCAGCTTTTGTTTACAGTAGTTGGCTGCTGCAGGGATGGCTTGAGACTTATACACAATGGCTCAAGCAGCTGCCCTGTATATGGCGCAGACAGCAGTACAGGGGAAGCTGTTGTGGAACAAATGAGGCTCTTTAAACACAGACATGCCATTGATTTATTTGGGAGGAAGATGGATGATTTGGGATCTCCCATCCCTTTTGCAATAGAAAATCTCCTTAAGCAATACTGGAGTTAGCCTGTACTCCTCTGCTGTCTCAAGTTAGCCAGGGAGAACAGATTCTTGCCTTTACCCCTGTATCAGCACTTAGTCAGAACTGGACTTGGCTCTCTCATTGGCATTTTGATGCCCCTTCAGTTGGATGCCTGTTACTCATCTCAGTTTGGTTCAGTTGGACTACACCTTTTGCTTCCTACTATCTGGAGTCATTCTTGAACCTGCCACTTTCTGTTAAACTTGCTTGTTAATGAAAGGTTGATTTGTAGATGTGCCATATGACTGACGTGGAGGGGAAAGACAGCCACCCACACAAGCATTTGTATACTGATGTTTTCTCCTACTGTTCCCTTAGGAAAACCATTTCTTTGGAGAGAGAGAAGTGCACTCCTATGTTCCTTACACAAAGGCACAGAGAAGAACCTAGCTTGTGATGTTCATAGCACAAAGCAGTTCCCAGGATTCTGCCAAAGTGTCTCATTTTTAGAATGAGATGGAGCTTCTCTGTCTGGTCATGCTAGGAGCACAGGCTGCCCTTTGCAGTAACTGCCAGCCACAGAGGGTGCTAGGGACAAGGGAAGTGTAATGAATCAGATGCACCGATAAAAGTAGATGTAGCCCACTGGCGTATTTCCTCGTGCAGTTACTACTCATGTGCAAGCTCCTGATAGCTGTTGTCTTCATGTGATGCTATTGTAAAATGCATGTTGCACAGCACTATATGGCTCTTCCATACTAAATGGGCAAAACAGAAGGGTCTCTTGAAGGATCTCTATTACATAAGTGGCAAAAAACCTTTTTTTTGTTCTTGTCTTACTAATTGAAACCTCCCCCTCTAGCAGAGAGAATCCAAGGAGGATACACATAGCTCCTCTTTGCACAGTAACATAGCCTTTGGTTAAAAATCACTAGCCTAGAATGAGAGCAAGCTGTGTTTTGTAGAACAAGTACAGGCATTACATTTCTAAACTTAAGGATTTATAAGGAAAGATATTTTTGATTATGAGAAGTGATGGCTCTTGTCATGCCCACAATTTTGTGAGATTTAAATGAAATTTTGCATGGATATTAGATTCTGACTAGCTAGGGAATGTAGATGTTGTATAGAGCTTCTGTTTTTGGGGTGTTTTTTTTTAATGTCATCTTGTTTACACTTTTACCTTTTCAGTGGTTTAGTAGGTTTTTTCCCTCCAAGACCTAAAACCAGTATTTTTGCACAGTTGTGACACGATACATCACTGACTGACAGTGTACTGAAACAGCAGATGCATTAGGTTGTATAATCTTATCAATGTGCTCTCAAATTGTACTGTCTGACTGCAAACCTTGGTTTGTCTAATAGACTCCAGCATGTTACCCAATGTAATCCATGTTGTAAATTTGTGATACAGCTGTTTTAAAACAAACTGGAGCCAAGCTGCCAGGCTGGTGTGTTCTTCTTCTGTTTTGTTTTCTTTTTTAGGTCAAGCATCTGTATTAATCAATAATGAAACGGTCTTAACAAGAACAGAACGTGTGTGTGTGTGTGTGTGAATCTGTCCAGTAATAAAGTGAAATTTATGAATAGTAGCACTAAGCATTCTTTCCTGTTGAATGGCTCCATTTGAGAAGCATGTGCTTTACAGGCAACTGCTGAAGCTACACTGGCTATCTTAGCATTTTTAAAAAAAATCCTGAAATCCATGTTTTGGTTAGACAACAGGTTTCAAATGCTGTGATAGCTGAAGAGCCACATACATGCAACCCATACTGAATGTCACTGGCACTTAGTACAGTGATGCACAATGGCTTGCATTAGCACAAGCAATTGCAGGGGACTTCGAGTTTTTTGTCCTCTAGTAGAATGAGTAGCTTAAATGATGCTTTAAGTGTTGAGAGCTGGGAGAGCCCAAGCCTGCCCTTATCTCCTCCCTCTTCCTGCAACACCCTTCAAAGGATCTTGTGGCCCTGGCATCCTGATCCAACTAGTCCCTCACCATTCAGTTACAGCTTCATCTGCTTCTTAGCAACCCTCCAGCTGGTTGTCTCTTTTCTAGTTTCTGTCAAGTACTGGGCTGAGACCAAATGACTTGCCTTCACATGAGCTGGTGCTGTAGCAGGCTCACTGAATATTATAGTCTGAGAACCCACAAAACTGTTTCTTGACTTGGAAGCGGGGGGTCTAAAGGAAACAGTGCTGTCCCTCCTAATTGCAGTCTATCAACTCCAACATCTCTTTTCAGGCATATACAAAAGAAGTTGTGTTCAATGGAGCACCACCACTTGCAGAAGGGAAGGGGGATGATTAATGAGATTTTACAGTTGGAATTCTTGTAAGGCATCAGAATGAGCAAGACATAGTAGCGTACTGTATTTTGTTCACATCTAGTCTTACACATTATCTGCTGTGACTTCACTAAATACTTACAGAGGTTCTGATTCATGTCACTTCAGTGACACTATTTAAGTCTGGCATGTGAAGTGGCAGTTTTGCTATGAAAGATCTCATAAGCTTATCTTCTAAACATCTAAAAAAAGTTCATTACATTTAACATGTATGTTAGCCTGAACACACAAGTCTGGTACTGACAGCAAGTCATTTATGGAAAGGGCAATAATAGTTTAATAAGAACAGCTTATACAGGTAACTCACTTCCATATATTCAGAATACAAAAGCTTCCCTGTCTACAAGTGCTAATGCTGAGAATTTAAATATCTATAAACATTTTACACTGATCATTAGGAATCATGAACATCAAAAGGAACACATGAATAAATATTTCAAATATAACCTCTTTAGTAAGAGAAACAATTCACACACAAAAACTGAGTTGCAACACAAAAGGGCAGATTTTCAGCTAGTGTAAACTGGTAGAGTTGTGTGGGTTTCGCCCTGAACTGGAACAAGTAACCTAAACAAGGACGATTTGTGGAATTGTTCTCTATTAACTTCACAGATGCTTACTAAAAGCGCAAGCTGTACTGATAGGAGACACTGGGAATATAAAGTAGTCACTAGCACAGAACTCTTCCAGGTAGTTCTAGGTTCAAAAAATAACTCAAGATGATGCTGGTAACTGTGCCCGAGTACTCTGGGCTAATCCTGCTCCACTCCCTTTTAACTGCCTCTGCTCAGTTAATCATGGTAATTCCTTATCAAAGTTCCACTTGTGTTTTGTAACAAAAAGTAACAAGCTGAGCCATGTAGGGAGAACACAAACCTTAATTTTCAGCTTGCTTAGAAAGTGCTTAGGATGGAAGAAGTGGTTCTTTAAAAATAACCCTGTTGTGTCCCTTTTGCTATCTGTACAATATTATTCCTCTCACTGCAAAACAAGGAGTAAAAACCATGACTACCTACTACTAATAATGACCAGGCAGTGTACATTCGGTTTCTTTTCTCTTTTGTAGAGAGAAGAATGGAGAAAGGGCTGTTTTAAGGAATGGGCCTGCATGTTCCCTGTAATTCCCAGTTCTGAGAAATGGCATCTATTTAACAGAGTCACATAAGGATTATTCTTAGGATAACAGGCTTTGGAGCAAACACTTGAGCCCAGATTTCTAAAGAATTTGAAGACCCTGTCACTGAAGAGGTCTAAATACCTTTAAAACCATTTAACTCTTAATCACCTTCTTTTATGTAAAAAGGCACGTTGTCAAGATAAACCCATTATATATTTCCACTGCAGGTACTTTCTACCCCCTTTAACAAGGAAAATGCATGGACATGAAGTCATCATTAATGCAATTTTTGGCACTTACCTCAGCTGTTAGTTTCACAATCTTGTTTTTCAGGCACCTGCCCAAACCTGCACTATTTCTAACACTGAATTATAGAAAAGCTTCACTGAAGTTATCATGGAGTTGCTTGTTCACAAGTTTTCTAAATCTTTCAGACACTGGAATGAGGAGCCTTGCCTGTATTCTCACTCCTGAGCCTCACTGGGCACCTCTACACAAGACAGTACATCACTGTAGCATTGGTGGGCATGAACCGCGACTCCTGATGCTACTTCCACAGCTTTGGAAGTGACCCATGTGGCACTGGGACTGTGCAGTCATTTAATGCTTGCTTAAGCAAGTATTAAATGACTGCAGTCCAGTGCACGTGTAGACATGCCCACTGTTTTCCACATACCATGCACAGACACCTCTTGCAAATGGATCTTTCCCTGCCTTTGTATGAAGCCCTATTAAGTCAGGGGAGGTCTGCTGTATCAGATCCAATTGCAAGATGAAGGTGTATGAGTTTAAGAATGACATAATTTATTTATTTTTTTTCCTTCCAGCCCCTGCAGTGGCTTCAAATCTAAATCCTGTAATTTAAGGCCTGATTTATACTACAGAATTGTAGTAGGACACCTAAGGGAGAAGAGAAAACACACCCATCACTGATGGCTATGACAGCAACCCCCTGGGTAGACTTTAACTTAGTGACAAGAGCTCTTTTGGAGGTGGCCGAGTGTGGGAAGAATGGTTTAATCAACAAGAGGATTTTTGCTGCTACAGCCAGTGCCTCTACTAGGCTTTGTACAGCTCCTATCGCAAAACAAACGCACAGTAGCCCTGAGAGCCTTCCATGAGGTAGTTTTGCTGAAGGGAATTTAGTTTCTTATGCAAAAGCTTCAAGTTCTGAAGGAGTAAAGCTTTTCTTTATGTTAGAGCAATTAATAGACCAAAAATATTAAGCCTGCTGGATTAAGCCTGTTGGATCAAAAACTCTGACATATATTACTGGAGGTCAGAAATAGAAGGCCACAAGCTATTTCAAGACATTGTAATCTATTTTGCAACACCAAATCCCACAGCCTGAAGTTTCCACATTTTTGCTATTGCAAAATGATACCCCTTGGAATGCAACTCTGCTTTTCCAGACTTGCTCCTACTGCTCCAATCTTTGGCAAAGGCAGAGAGGAAAATTAATTTCAGGAACTGGTTTTAGCCATTTTAAGTGAGACCAAATTCCATTAACTAATCAGGCCCAGAGACGTGAAAGCATTGTTGTTTACCCACATTGTGGAATCAAGCCGGTGGGAAGCTGAATCAAACCTATGCCCTCTCTCTTTCCTAAGGAACTGCTCCTAGCATATCCATACCAAGGGGTGAATGCGTTCAACATACCTTTGCAGAAAAGGATAAGTAAAGGACCTTGGATGGATACATTTCCAGAGATTAAATGGACAGAATAAATGAGGATTTGCCATGACATCAGAGATCAGTGAATTTCAAAACTGCCATACTAATGTGATGGGGACAGGGAACTGCCCCCTCCCCTGCTCCTCCAACTGGTAGTTATTATTCTACCCTATTCTTTGGGAAAAGGAGCTACAGCCAGACTACGCAAATTGGAAATAATGACCACTTCATAGTCACAAAGGAGATCTGCAATTCAAGAAATCATGGGGATACCATTCACAGCCAGTCCCTCTTCCTAATAAGGAGAATTAGCCTAACCTAATTCTATCCATGGGTTATTGGCAGAGTCAAAGATTATGAAAGAATTATAGTCCAGGTTGGATATGTGAACAATACCAACTTATTCCATATTTACCAGAGCATGAAGCTGTGGCTGAATAGAGTCAGTCTGTGTATGCAGCACTGTAAACTCACTTAAAGTGGTAGCTATGAGGGCTTCTTGGGGTCCCACAGTCCCATCAGACTTATAGTCTGTCCCCATGGTACAGCCATTGTCGTGCAGTGCAGTCACACTCCCTGGGACAACAGTCAAGTGCTGGTAGTGGCCATTTTCAGCAATAGAGAGCAGCTTCTCTGTGATTTTGGGTGACATGTCATACTCTCCATCAGGAAGTTCTGCCTTATGCCCTTCGTTGTTCTTAGATGCTCCTTCAACAATAACCAGGAAAGACTTCCAAGGTGTATTTTTATCATGTATCTAGAAACAATAGACAAAGCAGTGTCATCAGTAGGTGTCTGAAATGACTATAATGTTTTTGTCTACATCACCTCTGAGCCAAGGATCTCAAACTTAAACTCTGTGCAATTGTTTGAGAATATGCTTCAGCAGTGCAAAAGGAGAAGTGACTTGCTATAGCTTCTTGGCTATCATGAGGCAATGCAGTAACCAGTGTTGATTTCTACAGCAGGATCCAGCCCAAAAGTATGCCAGTGCATACTCAGAGGAAGCCAGTGCTGGTACCAACTAAGCCCAAAGCTGCTATAGCTGCACCAGGGCCAGGAAGATCATTGGAGCACCCTAATCAGCTCCTCGATTGGGGTTGCTTCCCCCAGGTCATCATGTATAAAAACTTGGCCAAGCCAAACACCTGGCCCAGTGAGGGAAATGGAGGTCTCCAGGTCACAGGGCAAGTTAGAAATAAACCTCTCTCCTGTTATTACCTGCATAAACTGCTGTCCATGGTGAAATTAATTTGTCTGTAAATCTAGCACAGCTCTGAATCTAAACTAGACAAGGAAATGTTTTGACGTATTTTAATATCAATGTAACAGGGAAAGGGCTCCCAATGGTCAAAACCAGCAGAAAGGAGATGGGTCCCTTTCTTAGAATTGATGCCCTGTACACACAAGTGTCTGAAACCAGAACTGTGAGGACAACATAGCTCCTTACTGAGGTGTGCCGCCGGAGGGTGGATTTGTCGGTAAATGTTCGCCCACATGCGTTGCACATGAAGGGTTTCTCCCCTGTGTGTATTCGATGATGACGCTGCAGTGCATTGAGCTGTGTGAACTGCTTACCACACTGATCGCAGCAATAGGGACGTTCACCTGAAATTGGAGTGGAACTTTAGAATGACACCTTGTCTGAGCAGCTCTTGCTGCAGCTTCTAAGCAGCCCAAATGCTCCACTTGTTTTACTAGGCAAGTACAGGCACCTTCACTAAACATTCAAATACATTCTCAGGAACATTATATTTGTGTAATTCTATACTGGAGCCAAAATCAACAGACTGTATCTAGCGTTTAAGGGCTAAATCCTCAGCTGGCATAAACTGATGAAACTCTTGAGTCAACAGACCATCTTACATTAACTAAACTCCTGGCCTAAATTAGTTGTCATATTTACAAGTATAAATATTTACTCAAGCAGGAACTCCAGGATTTAGCATATCCATTTGCTTTTGTAATCTGCTTTGGTATATGTAAATATCATTCATCAGAACAATAGTCCCTTATTTCCTGTGACACAGCAAAACAGAGGGAAAGACAGTAGGACAGCCAAGGGAGAAAATGGGCTTGGAAGATATAAAAACTGATGCAAACGTGGCAAAGCAGATGCAGAGAATTGGTATTTTAGCTTCAGCATCATTAGTGAGACCAGCACAACTCTGGGAAGTACTTCATAGCTACTGCAGCAATTTAACCAGCAAGAAACAGACACTTTTGGAGGGCCAGGTAGGAAGAACGGAGTGAATGAAATATCCCTGCATCAGTCAACAGCTAAGAATTCCATATAGAGGTGGTACTACTAGGCTCAAAAGCAGCAAAGTCTCTCCAAGTTAAGCAAATCTAAAATTTATGCCTATTAGGTCACAGTACTTTGCCTTCCAAAGAAGCATCTTTCCTACCTGTGTGAACTTTAATATGCTGGTAAAGTGAATTTCTCTGTGCAAATGTCCTGAAGCAAACTTCACATTTAAACGGCTTGGAACCTGTATGTATTCTGTTATGATGTTTCAAGTACTCCTTAGAGGCAAAGCTCTTTCCACATGTTTCACACATAAAAGGCCTTTCCCCTACAGTAAGGATCAATTGGTGAATGAGAAAACAAAAGCACATAAAATGTTGGTAAAGACATCACATGCAAACACCCTGAGCAAAACAAATAAGCACACAGCAATTTCAATGGCATTAACTCCCTGGGATAAAGGTACAGAATACACCCATCTGAGGACCTATACAAGGCAATCTCCTAAGGACACCAACATGTACGTGTATGAAGTAAACAAAAGCTCAAAGTCAACAGTTGGCGGGGACTTCCCTTTTACTTCAATGGGCTTTGGCTCATGCCCCTGATCACTTATATTAGAATCATATATCATTATATTAACTTTCATTAAGAAGCTGATTTTTGACAGTTGCTTCATGAAGGATTTGCTTTATCTTCATGTTCTCTCTCTGGAGACATTTTTGGGTGTATTTAAGGCACAAATGTCCGAGACCCCACAGATGGGGCGACCTGAGAAACTTTGATTAGGAAAGCAGAAGGAAAACAAAACCTTCACAAGCAACAATTTCAGGGCGCTATGATCAGGGATCCTGGTTTTCCTTGACGGAATTAGCAATTTTTTTTTAAATGATAAAACCCCCAAAATACATGATAGAAATAAAAGGCCCCTCACTCCCCTCCAGCCCTGCTGGTGACCTTCACTCTGCCCCCGAACACCCCTCATGCTGGTACCCCTCTGTTCCCACTGCCCTCCCGCCCTGCCAGATAGGGCCCCCAGCTATCCACAGTCTCCTGCCCAAGGCAGCAGCTGCTGCAGCAGAGCCCTGCTCCCCCGCTGCTGCCTGCTTGTTGTGGGTTTGGCCGGAGGGAGGGAGGCTCCCCACCACTGCAGGCATTCCCAGGGGGCAAAGGGGACCTGTGGCCCCCAGATCTGTGCATGTGGTGGGGGTGAGTTGCCCGCTGTGGCCT